TGTGAGCTAGCAACGGCGACGCAGGTCCCTCAGGAGAAAAGGGACATTGAGGTGGTAATGTAGCAGAAGAGGGTTGGCGCAACTTGCAAGGCGTGCTACGACGAGAGACATTGCCCTCTGTTGAGGCAAAAGATAGTCGGCCAATGCGTATCGTACTGAATCTTGTGTCCCGTATCAGCAAGAGTCGGTGAACACTGGCCAAAAGAAAGGAAACTTGTATTTCCTTTCAAGGTACGGATACATTGTTGGAGACTCTTGCGCTTCGTGTTCGCACTCCGTATGCGTAATCTGTACCTTAGCTTGGGCAAGTCTCAAATGCAAATGGACGACGGGCTGACGTATTCGTGGTTGTACAGAGCAGTGTTGAAACGTCTCTGAGGGAAGCTGTCGCCGTAGATGGCCCCACCGCAGATGTTTTTGCAACTTGCATGTGAGGGACCCGTGAGCCACTGATGTATGGTGTATCCGTATGTATGTATTCGTAGGTTTGTGTCATGTCTTGCTCTTTGGAGTTTGGAGGCTTTTGGCTCTTTGGGTCAATAATCATGGTGACCAACTCTCCGTCCAATCAAATTCACCATCCAATCAGACCCAAGTTTGTGGCTAATTGTTTCCCCTCATCCTTTCCCTCCTTATCCCGTCATGTTATTAAAGCTGGCTCAAATCGGCAATGGGCCCCTACCACTGACCCCTGTCGCTTCTTGTGCTTCCCCTTGCACATCATCTCATGGTCTCCGAAGTTCACTGGGTGATCCCTGTCATGCATTTGGGCGGGACTGCGGGTGCCTGAGCAAAGGGCGACGGCGGAGAGAAGAAGGGTCGCTGGGTGTCTTCTGCACTGTACACACAGTAAGTGCTAGGTCGTGGTGAAGCGACTCAGAGCGAAAAGAAGCTCTTTCGAGCATGGCCGCTTGGCTCCTTGGCCCCAAGACCCCGAACAAATACACCCCTTCCTCCATGGGAGAGGAAGAAAAGGCCCCTATTCATCGCGAACAGACGCAGGAGTCTGGGACCAGGAATAATCTCTAGGCACGCAGCCTGCCATCCCATCCATTCCCATGCCATGGAGCACACTGACTGCATAGGTAGACAGGCACCTGGCACTTCAGTACAGGTATTGGTGCAGTGCTGTGAAATGTGCTGCAGTAGCTGCTGCTGCCAGCACCTCGGCGGCCCATGGGATTGCCTGCTTCTCTCTCTGCTCTTGTTTCGAAACGCTGGGCCGCCCCGTGGCGTATCGGTGAGCAGTCCTGAATTTGTTTCAGGTGATAACCTGGCCAATCATGGCGAGGTAAACGTCAACGTCCGAGTAGGCTCTGGTGAATTCTCTTGACTTGGCCAGTTTATTCGCGGCTGTCTGTGAAGCATCGGACAGGCCAGACACTCGCAGTGTGGCATATACTACGTGCACACACAGTCGTTCCTCTGGCCCCCGCGCTGCTGGGCCTGATGCTGCGCCATCATCGTTCAGCTGTGCAGCATCGGCACTGGTGCAGCGGTCTTGAGTAGTGTCGATGAAGAAGCCAGGGTCGACACGGCGGGTGGAGGAGAAGTATTGGAAGAAACTGGACTAAAAGAGAAGGGCCAGAAAAGGTACCTCAAACAATACTTCGTAGACAACATCCGTATCCGTCGGTCAGAAAGAAGAAGAAAAAAAAGGAGTAGGGGAGGGGCTGGTAATTTGCCGTTGGGAAGGAGCCCGTTACCCGACGATGCAGCGTTCATTGCGCCACCATGGACAACCTAAATTCATTGCGGATGAGATGGAAGAAAATCATCGGCCGACGTAAACGTGGGAGAGCAAAGGAAAATTGCGGTAGAATTGTGACCCTATACTCTATTGGCCTCTGGCGCGGAGTGCACGATGCCTCCATCATGTCCTTTGGCATTAGCCTCGATGGAAAAGCGGGGAGAGGGGGGTGTCGAGACATCGAGACTCAAGACGTGCACGGAGTATGAGTACCACCTACCTTACCTTCACTTTACCTAACGCTTCTTACCTTATGTAAGCCAACCTCCCAGATTTCTCCAGTCGAGGAGGAAAGTGCATTCGATGCTGTTGAGGTGCCATTGCCAATCACCGACACCGCAAATGCAAGAAGGCGGCTGCGCGGGAGTTGCAACTTTGCTGCTTGCCATCATTACCCCTTGCTCGACCCTTGCCTTCCATACGTTGCCCGTTGCTTCTTCTTCCATCGCATCTCTCGCTTGTCTCTCGCTTGCTTCCTAGCGCGTGCCTCTAGCGGTTGGAGGCTGGAGCAGTTTGACGGGATATTTGCGCGTACGGAGTAAGGTAAAAGACGTCGTAAGGTGCGGACGTCGGCAAGCCATACGTACCTTGCCGTTCTATTGCTAGCGGGCAGCGGAATTAGACCTTGATCCGTTGCTTGCATTCATTGATTGCTCCCCTTTGAGGCCCAGTAACGAGTGTGCCCAATGGCAGTCACAATCTGTTGCATGTTGCTGCTGAATCAACGAGCTGAAAAATGGTAACCCCGCGCAGTCACGACTCACGTTTGTGACTTGAATTGTCATCATGTGATGAAATCAAACTTGAAGGCAATTGAAATTCTTGGGACCGAACTTTCCTCAAGTTGATTGACATGCCAAACTAGTGTAAGGTGCCTGAGCTTAAGGTAAGATACTCAGGTACGGAGTACGTAAGGTACCTTGGGCAACCTTACCTAAGCACGTGCTAAGGTGACTTGGACCCAAGGTTCCAAGGTGAGATTGGCTCGAGCTTTGACGTGCCGACTTGATTAATTTTTTATGATCATCTTATCCCCCCATTTCTCCGTACCCCCGTTCCTTTCTCTCACCTTGTCGGTCATGATCCCAGTCGCGTCTCTTGGGCCCAGGTAGATCCCTCGGCTCACTCTCCCATTGTCCATTGTTTCTCTTCTTCGTCGCCTTTTCTTTCGCTCCCGTTCCCGTCCCTATTCCTTGCATTCCATTCCCTCTGGCACCCACGGCCCAACTCTTCGTAGGTCCCGTCCCATTGCATCACATCATCACTCACATCCCCTGCTCAGCTCCCTCCGCCCCGTTCACATCTTTTCTCCTTCTTTCTTCTTGGCTTTAGTGCTGTTTGCTGCACTTCTCGCCCCCCATAAACATAGCGGACTGATGGATAAAGCATCCAATTGCCCAACTGTCTCCTACTATTACCCGGATGTGCTTGGATTCTACACGGATACTGCGAAGAGGATGAGATGAATTTGGTCCCCTGATCCCAGCGAGGCTGAACTGTCTCTCCAATCCTTCGGACCATTCTTGGTTTCTGATGTTCGTCCCTACTATTCCCGTCTGGTCTCTCGATTGATCCTCTTTGGACAAACAGACGTTCGTCCAGTGATAAGCCAACAACCTGCCGCTTTTTCGTTCACACCCCTGCCCCTCCCCTCCTCCCCAAGACAAGATACAAAAAAAGTTAACTAGCCTGAGAATGGGCTGAACCGAGCGTGTCCAGATTAAGTGGGAGAATCCATCGTCTCAATGGCCGCATCAAACGCGCGACACTCACTGTCTATTTCATGATGATGGTGTAGAGTATGAGCCGAGCGCGCCGTTGGTGGACAAGATGTTGGCCTGCAGTCGGTAAACGATGACGCGCTGAGAGGTTCGTTTCATGGCGGGATCGACCCTGCTCCATGCCCAGGCTCTCTCACCACAGTACAATCCAGTTGCGAACTTGCGAGATGTAAGGTACTTCGTACCCCCCTAGTTCCTCCCCTTGTTCCTACGCCCCCCTCTACTTTCAAGACCTGCACAGACGGAGCATCACAGCACTTTACCTGCTTCAACGCCCTACGGGCCTTGCGTTCCAAAGCCAGCCCGTCGTCCAGAAGGAGTGAAACATACCCGTTGGAGCTGCCAGCGGGCACAGCCAGCGGGAATTGTGCTCTACGAACGGACTGGTCAGGCCGGAACACACTTCTCATACGGGGGCGGCGTCTCTGTACCATTTTTATTACGGAGTATCTCGGAGAAAGGTACCCTCTGCACAGCAACAGCCCCCGTGCCTTGTGAAGATGCGAAAGAGGGACGCGCACCGGGGACAGGAAATCAACAGGGGATAGGAAAATCTCTGTTCTTTTCTCTGCTTCTTCCACACAGTGTTGCTTGCTGTCATCATCTCTGTGCCGCATGGGCTTTCTGGGGCTCAAACATCGGACGGGATTGACAAGTGCCATTGGGGGGCATCCAATTCCAAGCAGTACTGCAACAGTAACGTCTGTCTTCAGACTGCCTTTCCACCGTGTGTGGTGTGTCTGCCTGCATATGCAGAGAGCGGCTTCGCACTTCACAGACACTGGAAGCGCACACGCAAAATGCACGCACATAACCCGGCTCGAAAACATGGCACGTAGCCCGCTCCACCCTACTCGGCGAATCTTTTTCTCTCTCTGTGTCTCTCTCTGCATCTGTCTTTCTCTTACTGTCTCCTGTCCTACCGATACCCTCATCTTTGGTGTTTTAGAGTCGTATACGGGTTTTGGGACCGCCCAATCCCCAAACTGGCTCATCATCATCGAATAAGACAAGGTAGATAGATGGATGAGCCAAATCCGGTTCCAATCGTCGGACGGGTCCTGGAACATTACATAAGATACACTCAGCTTGGGAGAAGTATTCGTAAGGTGAGGTAAGGTATCCTCAGCAGGAAGCAGGGGAGGGTGTAGTGAGGTACGGAGTAGATAATTAGTGACTGTACAGATAGAACAAGAAGCACACCAGAATCAATGCGCAACGTACGAGCAGGGATCTTTCCGACTGCTGTATGAACCAAGTACATACTCCGTACCTTACCTACCTTACTCTCTCTGCGCAGTACCTACACAAAGTACATACAGTACTCCGTACCTTCCTACCTTACCTTACTCAAACTCCCGCGACCCTAGCACCTGCTCTTTTTATTTTATTTCTATTTTACTACCTATGTACTCTTCCAATTCGTTTCCCTCCCTCTGTTTCCATCTCATCGCTCCTCCTCCCTCACCCCCTTCCCTTCCCTCCCCTCCCGCTTTTCCTCGCGCCTCGTTCCTAGCAGTAACCTTGTTGATCACTCTCCGCACGCCTCACACTTCTCCAGTCCCACGCCTCCTCCTTCTTCTTGTTCGTTCTCTTCTCCTCCAAGGTACCCGGCCCCTTAGCTCTTCCCTCTTGCTCCATCTCTCCGCGCTAGGTCCCTGACTAACTCGCCCAAGCTTCCGTGCTGGGCTTTGGCTCTGATTCTTGCTCTTGTTCCTGCTCTTGCTCCTCTCTGGCGCTGGCTCTGTGTGCCAGTGTGGACTCTCTGGGATCTCAAAGCACACGCCTCCCCTCCTTCCTGGCTCCTCCGCCTCCTCTCGCTTCCCACCAAAGCGTCCGAACTCCAACACCAACTTCTTTTCCCGTCCGGAATCTGATCTTAACCTCGCACCTCCCGCACCTACCTCTCACCTCACCTCAAATCATCTTTCCGACCTCATCACACGCCAACCACAACACCCTTTAATCCACACCCACACTCGTTTTCCTAGTATTATATCTCCGAGAGACACCTCACCAACTTTCGACCAACCTCTTTCTCTCGATCTTGGTTTTTAATATTCATTTTGCTTCTCACAGCATTAGCCCAGGCTTGCCCTGCACCTCGTCTGATTAGCTTCCGCCTCTCACTCTTACCTCTACGCCAATCAACCATTTACTACGCAGCAATCTCTCTACCACAATCTACCATAGCAGTTGTAACTACCGACGTCGATATAGCCCCTACGTATACGTTCGTCCTTGCCTTCGCGACGGATCGACTTGAAAAAAGAAGGCTTGCTCCGTCGAACTAAAGCACTCGACGCCCCGACCCGAGAACGCCGGCGAAGCTCCCAATCCGACCAAATCGAGCGAGGGTGGAGAGCGGAAAGCCGTCGAGATGGATCACCCCATGCAGGATGCCGCAGCCGACGTGCTGGCGGATGCTAGACGAACTCTAGAAGCTCTGAAGAGCTCTGGTGTTTCTCGTGAAGCATTGTTGCAGATGTGGGAGGCTGGCGACAAGGCGGCACAGCAACAGCAGCAACAACTTCAGCTTCAGCTTCAACACCAACAACAGCAGCACCACCACCAACAACAGCAACATGCACCGCAGGATGTCGCAATGGAGGATGCTTCCACACGAGGTTTGTTCCACTCCCCCCAAATAATCTGCCCTCTGTGGGAAACAGGACACCCCTGCTAACTTCCCTCTTGTTCGTTCAGCGATATGCCACGGCCAAATAGGTCATAGACCACGCATCTCCGTATCATCAACAAGCTCAGGCTCTTCTGGCCATGCGAGTATCTGGTCTATGGGCTCCGCTGCCTCCAATGCCACCGTCGCGACACATTACTCCCAAGCTTCGCAGACCCCTTCCACTCAGCAATGCGCGCCTCAAGCAGCCCCTGGAGGCGTGCCCCAGGTAGCAAGCGCTCAGACGGGATGGGGTCCCGGGCGCTTCAACTTTTACTGGTGCACCTCATGCGAAACGAGATTCAAGCGCAAGTACGACTGGAAGCGTCACGAGGAGGAGTTCCATGAGCGTTGGAAGAAGTATCCTTGCCCTGAGCCTGGCTGCAACAGGAGCTTCTGGGGAGCCAACACATTCAACCAGCACCACAAGGCTTCGCATGGCTGCAAGTCTTGCCCGCACTCTGAAAAGGTTGTCAAGTACTTGAAGAGGAGAAAGTACTGGGCTTGTGGCTTCTGTTCGGCGCTGCACCCTTCGAGGGAACGTCACGTCGAACACGTCGCCAGACACTTCGAGTCAGGAAAGACAAAGTCGGATTGGATGCACTCAAGAGTCATCTATGGTCTTCTGCATCAGCCTCTGATCCACGAGGCTTGGAAAGATGTGCTGATGTCCAAGGCCAGTGAGTTCCAGGGCCGTCAGCCAAATTTCAGCTGGAATCCTACACAGACTGGTCGAGCGCAGGGTTTCATGGAGAATGAGAGCCCAGGCCAACTCCAAGATCTGCTCGAATTCTTCTCTGGGTCCAGCTCCGAAGCCGAGTCTATTGTCTTGATTGCCTACAAGCTGGCGGATCTCGTTTACCTACCCGTTCCGGCCTCGCCGCCAATGCAGTATTCCCAATGCTACGCACCTCCTGCTGCTCTTCCCCAACAATACCCCCCTCAGCCTCTCCTTCCTCCTCCATCGATACCCTCCCAGACTCTTCCGACTCAGTCCCCTCAACCTCCAGTATTAGCATCACAGGATTCATCACCCTCACCGTACATGGAACAGATGAGGGCCCAGTCAATGATGCCGCAGCCTTTGTTCCACACCCAACAGCCGCGCGCGCACACGGAACCTCTTCGCCGTGCATCACTGGACAGAGAGCTGCCGCCGCCACCACAAGAAAACCAGCCGATGAACTTCCAATTTATGCCTGAAAATATGGTCACATTTGAAGACTGGGAGAGTTTCTCCAGCACAGTCGTCGACGAAAACGCACCACAACCCACGCCAATGACAACAGATTGGCCGCTGGTGCCTGTACAATATTACAATGCCCCTGTAGGGCCATGAACACTTTCGTTTTGTCTTGCGAAACAGATAAAAGTCATTTTCCTTTGTAACATGTCACATGTATTGCAGCTAGCGATGCCCGCTGGCGAAACAATATAGTATATAATGGTAATCACCTTGTGGGGGACCAGACTCGAAAAACTTCGAATCAACATTTCTTTAGGCCACGGATTCGGGCGAAAACGGGACAGACTAGGTATCGGATGGGAACACGAATTGGCAAAGGAATGGCCAAAAAGAGGAGGGAGGCGTCGCTCACGAAAGAGGTGTTCCATTATGGCTGACGGCGAATGTCAAAATGCGATGGATAGAATCAAATCAAGCTCATTGCATTACAACCTTGGCATCCATACCCCTTCATTTCTGTGCCCTTCCCCTCGACTCTTGACTGATGAGGAGTAGCACGCTGCACTAAGAGACAAGCAGCACCCTGCATATTCGTACGGCAACAAATATGAACAAGGTCTCCGACTTGTGACTATCCATTCACCAATGCTGGTTCAGGCGAGTTGCAAAATCATCACCTCGCAGCAGCAGTATCTGGGGCGGGTTCCCGCTCATTGCGTATCACACCTCGACATCAGATCATGCAGAACCTTTGCTCCGTACTTGGCATTGATGATGGCTAGTTGACATCGGTTGGAAGCAAACATTCTTTTCGCCATCGCTTTCGGCTGTCATATGAGAGTCGACCTTATCAACCTTAGCCCGCTGGGAAGCTGCAGCGCACGTCAAACTATTTGGAACCCGTACTACCTGACAGAAGTCGTTTGTCGTTGGTACAGAACGCCGGGTCAAATCGTCCGGTTAGAAAAACCAAGCGACCCATGGCGCCTCTTCGGGAAGCGGCATGAGGTTGGAAATTAGGGTGTGAGCGCCTACGTCCATGGATGGATTACTTTGTGGTTGCTACTTAAAGGCCATTGTTTGGACGAGCGTTGTTCCTGGCCGGCAGTCTTGACGTTCACAGATTCTTCAACTAAACTTTGGTGGTTTACCAGCTTTTCCAACCAAGACTATCGCTCATTCTTATGGGCCATTCCCAAGGTTTCTCCAGGCAAGCAATGCTTGCCAATCCGTAGCTACCTTGACAACAACATTTGCGATCCGCGAGCGCACTCCGGAAACCCTCTTGAGGTAAGTCGTTTAGCGGTCCGGGCTCCGTCGCTTGTTTGCTCGTTTTCATAGAGAAAATGAGAACGAAGAGGAGGAGGGGGCGTACGATTGGGTTTGGAGAGGATCTCGTTTGGGGAGGAAAGCTGCTGAACGGGGTCGCAGCTTTTCTAAAGCTCAAGAGAACTTTGGCCATCATGGCCAAGGTCCCCAGACTCTCGACGACAAGGCCGACGGCGGCGACTGTAGTCGGCAAACGAGCCGAAGCACGCTCAGCCGCAGCCGCAGCCGCAGCCGCAGACGCATCCGCGGTCTCGGGCACGGGTCCGGCCCGCAATGGGTACTCCCTTCGGCGCTGGTTGGGCCAGAGCGACGCCGACGATCCTTGGACGCCGCGTGGGGTCTTTGAGACGGGTGGAGGTGGAGGTGGTGATGGCGGTGGCGAAGTCGCTGGCGTTGCCGTGGCCGTTGCCACTGCCGCCCCTGCGAAGCATCCGGGAATGTGTGATAGAGGTGAGTCGTTTTCAACGGTTTTTGTTCTCCATTGGTTAGTTTATTTCGGCAATCTGAGACCTGGGGTGGAAGCCACTGCGCATTGAGGAGGTCTGGATCGCGCTAATACGGGTGTGCAGTAGGTAAGGTATATAAAGATGATGCAAAACCTGTCCACTGAGGATTAGCTTGGCCAGTGTGACCAAGTACCTTACCGTAGGTATATAACGAATCAATGGGAGGTTTTTTTTTTAAATAAAAAATAAAAAATGGAAAGTTGTTTCGTGGTGACCATCATGCCCATTTGCGAATATTTGGTGCATTTTGTGTTCGTGGCTCGTATTTCTAGTATACGTCTTGTCTAAGGCTAACAGACTACCACCAACGTAAGTCATCAGCATGCTCTACACCTTGATGTAGAATGCGAGTTGGGGTCAGGTGAGATAGAGCATGACATTGTCTCGGTGCTCCATTATTGCAGCATGCATATCCTGCTAAATTCTCAACTCACCCAAACCTCCGTCAATGAACGGAGTCAAAACGGAACGCCTCCTAACCCCCAAGAAAACCCCAATACCCGCGCCTAGAATGCAACAAATCCCACACCTCTCTATCAATCATATCCAATCGCCTTGGGCCGCCTCACAAAATCCATCTTGGCCGAAGCAGCAATGATCGGGGCTGGCGTCCCCGACACGTGAGGATCCCATCCCATAACATCGTACGGCCACCCAGGCTCCCACTTCTCTACGCTCTCGAGGTACGCGATTTGCGCCTCTGACAACTGGATCGTTAGGGCGTCGATATTGTCCAGCATCTGCTCGACCTTGCGGCCCCCGACCACGGGGAACACGTACGGCACTTTTGCCATGACGTACGCCAGCGCCACGGCCGTGATGGACGTCACGCCCACCTCCTCCGCCACCTCGGCCAGCGCTTTGCTCACCCGCATCTCCGTCTCCGTCTGGTCCGCCAGGTGCCGGAACGCCGCCTGCCCGTCGCCGCTCCGCCGCCGCGCCTCAATCATGTCCCGCGTCTTGAACTTGCCCATGCCCGCCGCACCGTAGGGCGCGATGGCCATGCCGAACTGCCGCGCCATGGGGATGATGTCCCGCTCCATGTCGCGCATGATGACGCTGTAGTAGCCCTGATAGATTGAAAAGGTCGTCTTGCCGTGCGCGCGCGCGTACGTGTTGGCCGCGCTAACAACCCAGGCCGGGCAGTTTGCTATGCCGAGATAGTGCACTTTCCCTTGCTGGACGAGGTTATGCAGCGCGTCCATGACCTCCTCGATGGAAGCGGTATAGTCCCACCACTGGACGTAGAACACGTCGATCCAATCGGTGCGCAGCTTGGCCAGCGAGTCGCGGAGGCTCATGTGCATCGAGGCGCGCGAGTTCCCGCCCGCATTCGGGCAGCGACCCTTCCCGAGGGCGTGCATGCGGTAGTCGGCCGAGAACTTTGTCGCGACGACGCAGCGGTCCCGGACGCCGCGGACCTCCATCCACTCGCCGAGCCAGGACTCGGACTGCTCGTGCTGGTAGCCGTTGGAGCAGTCAAAGAAGTTGCCGCCAGCGTCGAGATAGGCGTCCAGCAGGCTGAAGGCGGCGTTCTTCTCGACGGAGCCCATGCCGTCCGACCAGGCTGTTCCCAGGGACATCGTGCCCATCTGGAGGGGAGAGACGCGGATCGCGGCGTTGGGGGAGAGAATGCGGTAGCGGGCGAGTGGCGTTGGCGGATCCGGTGCCGGGAAGAAGAGCGTTCGGGCGCTTTCGGTAGCCATATTGGCGGCCTTCTTATAGGCGTGTGCGTCTTGGTGTGATAGGATGTGATGCTGACGCCTGTGGTGTTTGCGGATAGGAGCAAAAGAGTGAGAGTGGAGGGTACTGAGACGCCTGAGCACAATGTAGCTTCAATAAACCGATTCACAGTTTCCTACACCGAGATAGATACGATCTTAACCACTCGGTGTTTGCTGCTATTGAGTTCTTATACAGTTTCTTACCTTCAGGGCAGTTGCTTGGGATGTCTGACAGGATTGCTGGCGTCGCCGTTTTCTGACGGGGCGTCGTCCGGGTGGCGCAGCTGCCTTTAGTTAAGAACGAAATAGTAAAACTTTTGGGCACCGCCCTCTCATCCTCAGTTGCGGAAGATTTTGAAAAGACCGCGGAGGTCTCAGACTTAGTCGCGGAGAACCCACGGGATTCCGTCGCCTAACCGCTACCAAGACATGCGTAGTCGCAGTCGAGATATACGATGCCAGTGACTCGGGAGTGGTATCGTCTAGACGCTCGAAGAGTGCTAGGAGAGTCCGAAATAGACAAGGTAAAGAGATCATATAGTTATAGCTGCTCAGATGATTGGTCGATTGCTGTGCATGCTAGCCAGTCTGGCGGCTTCTTCAATTCTGTGAAAAACAAGGACAGAGCCACCAAATAATACTTGAGCAGAAGCCCATTGGATATGTAACATGCGTTGAAAAACATAGAAGTTCAAAATGGTATCGTTATAGTACCAGCTGCGGTGATGGTGCCGCACACTAAAGCCTCGTAGGGAGTGCTGCTCGTCTTAGTGATCGGCAGAATTCATGCCGTCAACAACATAACCCTTGAAATCACGCGCCGGAATTCGTCTATCGAACAAAATATCCAACTCTTCGTACGTGCGGCCCATTGTCTCGGGAACGCGGAACCATGCCCAGATGAAGCACGGCCCAGCCAGCCCTCCGAAGAAGAAGCCGAGCTTCCCCTGCATGTTAGCCTCATCTGGATTAATCATGTATGGAATTGCCACGGTCATGATGATCCCCAAGACACCCTGGGCAGCTGTCGCGAGCGCAATCGTCTTGGATCGCACTCTGGTTGCCGAAGCTTCTGATATGAGGACGAAGCATACGGGACCGACGGACAGGTCGTAGGCGAAGTTCCAAATGAGCATGAGTGATGACTCTGCCCAGGCCACGCCAGAGGGACGTCCGGGAACGCAGTCTAGGATGCCGATGAGGAGCTGCAAGAACACCAAGGCAGCGAGGCCAGTGATGTAGATGGTTCGTCTACCGTAGTGAATCAAGAAGTACCACGAGATAACGGTGCCAAGGAATCCAACGGCTGAAGAGGTTAGCCAATGCTCACAATCTCAAGGGAAATGCAAAGGATCAGCGGTTTACCGAGGAATCCAATGGCCATATCGAATGCCTTGTCAGTAGGCAGGCCGGCCTGCTGGAAGAAGTACGTCCCGTAGTTGATGAGATAGATGCCGCTGAGAACTTGAGTGCAGTAAACGCCAACAGATATTTCCGTCCGCCTCAAGTTGGCGCCCTTCAAGCAATCGGAATACGTGCTTCCAGCCTCCAGTTCTTGCTCAAGTCTGTCGGTTTCCACGATGAAGGCCAAAGAAGCGTCCACATTGACCTGCTTGGAAGCCAGACGGCCCAGGCTCTTCCTCGCATCGTCCATTCTACCCTTCCTTACCAGCCACCATGGGCTTTCTGGGACGAAGAGCAAACCGGGGAGGATAACAAGGATCCAGAACCATTGGAGCGCAAAGGGCAAAGAATAGGCCCAATGGGTATCAAGCTTTGAAGTCCCCGCTGTGACGCCGTTGGCAAGGAGCTGGCCCATGACAAAGCAGAGATTTACGTAGGACGTCAAGTGACCACGGATAGCAGTGGGGCATACTTCGGAGGCGTATGCCGGGGCGATGACAACATACATGCCCAAGACGAGACCGCCGAGAAGCTCGCCGACTAGGAGGACAGGCAACGAGCGTGCGAAGAATTGGATGAAGACAATGCCCGCGGTGAGAATCACGCACACGGCAAAGGTCAGTTTCCGGCCGTACCAGTCCATAGGATATGCAGCGAAGAGGGCACCGACAACTTGACCGACGGGATTACCCATGGAAAGTCCGGTCTGCCAAGCGGCAGCTGAATACATGTTGATAAGTTAGGTATTCTAGCACAAGAACTCAAGTCCAAGACATACTAATGATATACTGTAGCACGTCAGTACAGGTTTCATGTCTAAGAGGAGGCAGCAACTTACGGAACCCTCATATTCATAACCAAAATCTCTCTGAAACTGAGGCGTAGCGTAGAGGTTTCCGAGCAATTGCGGATCGAACGCCAACATGATGACCCCAATAGACACGAAAGCAGACCACCCAATGGCAGCAGGGTAGAGCTTGACGGCCTGGGAGAAGGTCAAATTGTGCTCGAGGCGAATGGCCTCGGCCAGAGCAGCATCATCGGCGCCAGGCTTCGCATCCGGAGCAACGACAATAGTCTCAGCATCTTTGGATGCCATCGCGGAAGTATTACTATAGGATGAAGACTCGACTCCCCGCAAGAGAGGTTGGATCTCGTCGTCTTGTGTAGCGGCCCTTGCGGATGAACGTGAGTATGGAGGAGACATGATCATCTTATTCCCCCCTCAATGGTAGCAGCCGTAATGCAGATGACCCGGCCGGGCTTCGCGTCTCATTGAGCGGGCACCACGGTATCGGGACCCCTCATCCCCGGCAAAGACCGGTGTGAGCCCCGAGTGGCTAGCCTCTATCGACTACGGGATTCAAACCCAGCGCAGGGAGTGGTCAGCAGGTCTACAGAGATATGAGAATCTCCGGTTTAACAGGGGAAGGGGGAAAGGGGAGGGGGGAGGTGGTTGGGTGGTATTCAGACTAGGTATGGTGTGTTGAAGGTTGACAGAAGTTACCGGGCCCAAAGCGAAAGCCAATCCGGGGTAAAAGCCTGGGCGCACTTGCCGCCTTCCGTGCTTATCAGGGAGGTGGGGAGGTGGTCAGCATACGCTAGACCGCTGGGGGATGTTGGAGATAGCGGTCCAACCGTTCTTGCAGTGAACCCCCTGCGTAAGCTTTGAGGTTGGCGGGGAAGTCCTTGGGACGTGATGCCGAGACCTCGTCCCGAGCTTGATTTGACCACTGGCCTATCTCCTGTTGACCATCACAATGCTGAGAATGTGCATCCCTCTATGATGAGATAGGTCAGACTTTATGAGGTAGAGTTGAAGACGAAGATGTCGTCTAGCATGATATCATTGACGTCGGGGTGATCGTGTTTCTTTCCTATCACTGGGTATCATTGCTGCCAGTGAAATGCCCATTGTACCTATGCGGGTTGGGGGGGGGTTTTCAACAGTGCTCCAAAAGTATGTACCCTTAATGCCCTTAGGCATCATAAGCACCTAGCAAAACAGGTATAAACTATATCAGTATATGTGCTAAGTAAAACTTACAAACACTATTCCTTTCTTCCTCTATTTTTTTTATCTAAAATGAACCTACTCTGTACTTTTATAATCACTCTAAACGCTCGAACAGAGGAGAACTAGAACAGATGTTTAGAAATATTATTATTTTTATTAAAAATGCTAACCCTTAAGCTTATTCTAGAATCTGTATATAGTTAGACTATTATACGGGTAGCAGGGTGCATATACAACATAGTCCATTAAAGGAATAGAGACAAGGACCACTTTTGAAAACCCCCCCCAGCGCGGGTAGGTAATATTGAGCCGAGCTTCCGATATCCTTTCGATATCAAGAAGGCATACCATGCATGACCTTGCCTTGCTCTATTATGAGTCCCTCGTAGGACAAGCCTTGTCTTATCACAAGAACCCCTCCACTTTCCTTCCCTCCAACCGTTTGCCCTTCGCATCTCAATTACAGATATGTGAGATGAAATCCAATTCGTCTGAGCTTTCTGATCTGAAGCTAGTGGGCAGATCGTAACTTGTCGACCGATGTTGGCCTGGGCGTTTAGATACTGTTATGGATGAGAACGCGGGCTCATGGTGACATAGCTTAGCTCTACATTATGATGGCGGCAAGCTACCGGGCCTTGGACTACAGAAGTTGAGAGGGATTACATGGTACATTCCGGAGCTCTGCAGAGCATTAGTACATGGGTATCGATATTAGGCCTTGAGAGTCTCAAAGTCTCTGAAAACGCTACAACTCTAAGACGAGTCACCGCCAGACTCCAAGGTGCACGTCGATATTCTTTCCAAACTCCGTTTCTGCATCTGCCTCTTGATCTCTCTGTCTCACGTCTTCGGTACGTGATTTGACCCGAACTCAAAACCTCAACTGCCGACCAAGAATCAGAGTGCATGGTCCTACTTTTCTTCGGTGACACCGATCTCGTACCCAATCAGAACCTCGGTGCTCGTACCTTCCCAACCGCGCGTTCCAGCAGTTGAGATCATGAAGCGGCACGTTCGATCTATGTAGAGTGACGAGATGACACCAGCTCTGGGCGGACCAGGAATGATCAGGAAGGGGACGGTGGAGTGCTTGAAAGCCCGAGTGTCCTTGAGATCATACAGACGAAGAATATCATGGGAAGCGCTTGTGCTTATGTTAGCTTCACAATCGTGTTTCCATGTCGGCTTTTGTTAGCTTACCAGACGAGATGACGGCCATTCGGCATCGCTCGAACCGCACTCACGGCTCCACTTCCGGCCGGGAACTTGAGGGTCCTCTCCGGCGCCCAGCCGCTTCTGGCCTTGTGGATGTTATACTCCTCTACCGTTCCGTTTCTCCTGCCGGCGTAGATCCAATTGCCATCCGGACTCCAGCAGGCACCCATACACCAAGGTGGCACGCCTCTCTGACTGCCTATCCTTGCGACGGGGTCTTGGACACGCCGATCCCAGAGTCTGATATTGCCATCAATGGCTGCGGAGAAGAAGACCGTGTCCGCTGATTGAGTTGGGTCCATGGCCGGTGGTGGAGGATCCGAGGCGAAAATCATGGAGGGTGACCCGGGATTTGCATCATCTGTTTGCATATCGGGAAGAGAAGGGATTTCCGGAAAATCGGGAACAGGCAGCTCCGTCGTAGCATCGCCTGCGCCGTCTAGCGCCGAGGTCACATCTGTTGCAGTCGATTCTAGAGCCGGTGCCGGTGCTGGAGGCTGATTTCTTGTGGCTTCAGGACTGCTGCTTCCCGGTGCCTGGACCGGCGGCGCCGGGGCGGCATCGGCGTTGAAGGCATTTGTCATATCGATATCGGCAGAGTGGTCCATACCGCCGTCCTGCCCTGAGTCATCATGAAGAGTAGGCATTCCCATATCTCCCATCGCCCTCGAAAATTCATCATCGTCATCGCCGGCGTAATTGCCTGCCACATTATCGCCAAATAGCGAGCCTGTGTCACTGCCACCAAAGAGCGACTCGTGTGCGGGTGACGCTTGTCCCTCAGCGCCTTCGCCGGCCAATGCAGGAGGCGGAGCTTCAACACCGTTGATATCGTCTAGGGTGCCGTTCTGAGGAGGCTTACTGTTATTCGAGGTAAAGGTCGGGTCAGGTTTGATTTCTTCCTCCATTGCCTCGGCTGGAATCGGTGCACCATTTACTGGGCGAAGCTCGATAGCAGAAGTTTGACCTCCGCTACCGTCATAAGAACGTTTGACAGCGCCAGTATTGAGGTCCCAGTCGAAGATGTTCTTGTCCCAGCTGCCGCTTAGGACGCTCTTCTCGTCTTGTGCCAGTGTCAACACGCTCACAGCATTAGTGTGCTGTTGTAAACATGTTATGCGCTTTCCTTCGTCATGCCTTACACTTTGAAGATTGATGCCGCCAGATTCGAGACCCGAAAGAAGCCAAAGCGCCTGCGAGTGGACAGCCAACGAGTAAACGGGCGATAGGATGTGTTCTTCGTTCCCTCTCGGGTTCGGCGGGCCTGGCTCTTCATTCTCCCAGTATGACATCAAAATGCCCGCCTTGACGACACTATCGACAAAGGGGTGCCTTTGCGCTACTGTGAGGAGTTGTTTGCCGTTTATAGTACCAGGCCCGTCGTACTTTCGGATATAGCCGTCGGAGCCTCCTGTCATCCAGAACCTAAGATCGGGCGTGATGGCAACTGCGTTTACGCTCGTCGCCTGCGGCGCAGCCATCGTAGGAACAATATCGTACAGCCGGGCATTGACGGCTTCGGGTCGGACGCTTGGGAAAAGACTTGAGGATAGCAGTGGAGATCCGCTCTTTATCCCTGGCGACGCCCCCGCGCCGGCCGAACCAGCTCTAGAAGGCACTCTTGCATCTCTTGCAGCTGCGTCGTCGCCCTTCTCTTGCGCATCATCGCCCGTTTCTTCGCGGTCATTATCCTCCTGATCGTCTTCGTTGTCTTCCTCCTCATTCTCCATGTCCCCTTCTGCATCGTCTACGTCTTCCATGACCTCATCCTGGTCGTTCTGGTCGTTTTGGTCATTGTCGGAGCTCGCGTTTGAGTCTAGGTTGCCGGGCAGGTCAGCGGGTTTCTGGGAACCACAAGGCTCAGAGATATACCTCTATCGTCTTCATCCATTTTGGAGCCTTGCTGTATAGGAATGCGAACAATGCACGGTTATTAGGTCGCAAGCAGAGCGCAGGAGGGTCGCGCGTTTGGAAAGCCCGCGGCGTCGGCAGGGTTGCGCGAGGGTCGGAGAAGCGATTGGGTTCGTTTGCGATTAAATGAGTATCTCGGGATTTCGCAGTGTGAGAATCAACGTTCCATTCCAAGTATGAAAAGAGGTTCCGTTAACAAAGTCGGCGGCAATGGGCTGTAGAAGATGAGTGGTTGGTGGACGCTACTGATGTTCGTTGCGCATGGAATCGTCGCGAAAGCTGCGGTCGCGACGACGTGCTGGGTTGGAGCACCTCAGAAGCTCAGCTCGGTGGGGCCGCCCTGGTGCTTTGTGCCCACTTCACCCTGTGTGCCTGTGCTGTTCGCCTCGCCAGGGCAGTTTAGCTTTCAATTACGGCGGGGAGACGACAAGGTTAATAAGCCCAGTCGCACTAGCATCCCCTGAAGCAGCACCGGCGCATCCCTTACGAAGGAGCTCCGGACCGGAAGCAGCGCCGGCTGATTCGGCCGGACGGGCCCCCACGGCAGAACTTCGGCGCCGCTCAGCTGGTGGTCCGCTGGGACAACCGGCCTCCTAACTACACTCGTTCTTAAACATCCCTTCCGACGTTTCTCTTACCTGATTCGCGAGCTCTACCAGGCAATTCCAGCATCGATAAGTGTTCGGCCATGATGAACTCGTTTCTAGTCCAATGAGTTCGCTGGTAAAGCCAACCTGCACCAAGGCAACGGACAATCATTTCTGTCTCTTTTCATAGCCATTTATTTCCCTCCTCGCTCCAGTGAGAATATGGCTGTAAGTCTCTGGAAATGGGGTCAGGCTCAGGTTTTCCAGCCGTTGCTTTTGACACGGAGTCGTGCCGCGCTACGTTCTCAGCAAATCCGTTGCACCGGCCATGTTAGAGGCCCTTCCTAGCATATTGCGGGTATATATCTTGTTCAACCAGAGCATCATATGTCTGCCACTTTGAATTTTACATCGTTTGTATGTTGTCTTGGTGGTTTTGCAAGGTAATGATGCAGGAAGCCGTCGATACATACCTAAGCCTTTTGACATGCCTGCGTTTTCCTGCAAACGCTTGAGATACTGTAGCTTACCGCTCTCGACAAACTAGTTTGTCGAAAGCTTTTCCTCTTGCAATCGTTACGTTCCCTTTACCCTGAAAACAGTCGCAAGTATCAACAACTTCAACTTTGTGGGGATTCTCATGCTTATGGTTGGTAAGTGACTCTTTTTGTTAACATGAGTCCATCGGGTCCAAGTTAAGTAGATATCAAGTCTGGCTCCCAAATACGGTACGTTTTTTAGCCCTTCCTTGGAACATAGATCAATTACTCATGTAGCAGCGACTTTTGCACTTCATCTGAAG